CGTTATCTCCATACTGATTTATACCTGCCTCTGGAAATTTCCATTACTTGCGTCTGATGAAGTGGGCATTCACCCACGAAAGCTTATGCTCCAATACTTCTGTTAGTCTTAAAGGTGCCACAGGACCCTCTGTTACTCTCATAGAACACACTCCAGGCGTCAGTTTCCTTGTTTCAATCCAATTCTCCTATTCACCACAATACTGGGCACTGAATTCTTGTTTATTCACATGCAAATAAAGGAAGCCATAAGCAAAATCTTCTGCATGTTCTGGGAATAGTCCATTGCTACAGACAGGACTTGTTCACAAGAAAATATATAACAGTGTCTCCAAACTGCCTTTTCTTACAATGTTTTTACTGGGGGTTCATCTTTTATTGCTAATCCTCCACTGCAATTGCTATGCTGCTGTCACTCATCAACATTCCACTGAAATCAATGCAGTGCTAGGATATTCCTGGTGCATTCAGCAGCACGGCTTGTATGCTGCCCGTGTACATCACTGGAATGTTTGGCAGTACTCAAACAGTAATGTGCTATGGATTGGTGGGAATACTGGTATTTCCCATGTTCCACTCATGCTTCCACAGTTTTAAAACTATCAGGCAGGAAAGTCCTACAACAGATTGTGCTGTTGTGCAGTAGCTACAGCAGCAGACACGCATAATTCTACACTGAAGGTGCCCTGCCAGAAGAGAGGAGAAGGAGGAGGAACTAAGGACACAGAGGGATAGACACACAGGAAAGGTATGAAGAGAGCAGAGAGGAACAAAGGAAAAAGTGGTTGAAAATAGAAGAAATACATTCACATTAAGGGACAAATTTGATTCTTTCCTGCCTGTGGCAGCAAAAGCTTAAAAAAAATGCAGAAAAGACAGTGCTCTCAGTCCCTGGCATAGGATTATGCACCTATACCTTGCTCTCTAGCAACCCACTGTTGCTAGCCAAAGAGCAGCACTCACTTGCTCAAAAGGAGCAGTATTAAACCATTTTTGGCTAAAGGCAGGGCTGGTGCAGTGATGGCCTTCTGGGGTGCATGTGAGGGGAAGGGAAGATCTTTACAAGTGTGCACACAAAAGTATGCAAACAGATTTTGAAAGTCTAGCCCTAAATTTATTTTAAAACACAAAAGTTCTTTGTTAATAACAGTTTATTTAAAACAAACCTATAATGTGCTGCTTATTCACTTTGTGAATAACTCTTCTTATAGACAATGAATCCTGCAGGCTAAATAGGCTCACTTGTTTTTTCCTAGTCAGTTTCATTTTTCAAGTTCTCATGCTCTAGTGCAATGTTTATCAGCAAACAGGGAAGACAAAAAATAAATTCCACTGAATTTAGGATCTCAGTTTTGTATCCCATCATAAATATGGTAACTCCACCAGCACAGTGCCCCTCTTCATCATAGTAAAAGGTCAGTCCCTGGAAGAGTGCCAATTACAGAACTATCAAAATCACTTTCTCAGGCACCTAGGAATTACTAGGAATAATAACCTTATTACACCCTTCTCAGCTTCTGACATCAGATAAGATCATGCCTGATTCAGCTAAGCTGCAAGTGGCTCAACTAGCAGGTATAATTTTTGACTTACTGTAACAACATTGGCCCCTGATCCTGTACCATTAAATTCAATGGGAGCTTTGCCATTGATTTCAATGAGTGCAGGATCAAGCCCTCAGCACCCAATTTAAGCAGTGGTAAAATTCACCTTTTCTGCAATGGCAAGAATTCCCCACGAACAGCTTGTGGATGACAGCAGGCCTGCCTCAGCCGCAGCAAAGGGTACAGAATAGAAGTGACCGTCCTCCTGTCCAAGCTGCTAAGTTTAAGAGTCCAATCAGAAATCTTCCTGAGTTTTGCTAGTGCATCTTGGCAGCACACTTCATGCTGACGATGATAAAAGTGTCTCTCCACAGGAGAAAAGTGAAGCCAGTGTACATCTTCTGTCTGAGGGGGAATCTGAATCTGCAAAGTAAAATAAAATAAAATAAATAAATACATAAAATGTTTTTGGTGAAAGTGCTATTTACATACAATTTTTTTAAAGTCCATATTTACTTGATCAATCACGTCCTTCTTTGCTGATCTCCACATTATGTTGGCAATTAGGTTGTAGAGAGGCTGAGGATTTTTCCTACAGTAAGGTCGATACAGAAGCTGATCCCACCAATGTTTGACCCAGTAAGGATCAACTCCAAGAAAAAGCACTAAGCCATATAGATCTGATAAAAGAAGAAGATTACTTTACTGTATGCTATTTTAGAACGCCACACCAAAAAAAAATTTCTACAGTAATGTCACCAGGTTTGAAATACCTAAGTGCTTAAATCACACAGTTCATCGCCCTTCTGCAGAAAACAGATGAAGCTCCATGCAGTTTACTGTGTGCTGTGGTCTTTCAGCTGAGACCTTAAATATCAAGGTCCTGTCTGTTCTGTATAACTTTAAAGATCATATGACACTTTCCATAAGAGTTAAGAGTTTTCCCTAGGATCTTGTTTAAAAAAAATAATAATACTGCTCTCCATCATTATTTTGCAACCTGCAATGCACAATTGCTTACTGCCTACCACCCCAGCGGTGGCTGTAATTCAGTAGAGTTTCATTCCTTCAATAGCATCTTAATATTATGACAAAGGAAATCAGTTAAGTCTTACAATCTATAAGCATTCTTCTCTAGGAATATAAAATATCTACTGCAGGAATCTAGGATAGGAATATCAAAATTGGCAAGTTTAGTTGTCTCTCCTGGAGCCCCAATACATCGGGGGGGAAAAAACACCACAGACTATACAAAGCTTACCTTCTAATCCTCGCTGTACAGGAGTGCCACTGACACACCAGCGATTGATTCCACTCAAACGGAGTGCCATTTCTGCAGCCTAATGAGAGAAGACAGGAATAGCAATAAGTAGAAATACATGAAAAGACCGCAAGAGCCAAGAAAAAGCTCACTCACTCAGAAGAACCATGACTGTATGTGTCAGCTTTGCAAAACACTACTCACCAGATATGCCAAACCTGTGAAAATTGGGCTTGTTTTTGGCTTAATTGGCTTGTGAACTGCTTGTTGGCTAGTTTTGGGCTTGTAGCTTGTTGATTTTTTTTTGATCAGCTCTTGGCAAGCAGAGGCAAGGGGGGGAAAGGGAGTCAGGGTGCACAGTGGGCCCACCACAGTCCCAGACTGCACACCGGGGGGATCTAGTCACAATAGAGTGTTGACGTTCTTATGGATTGGCTTGTTTGGGCCTTGTTTTGAAATGGGATTAGCTTGATTTTTGGCACATTGTGAAAGTCGGTGTGCTTATTTACCGCCTGAAAGTTGGCAACTGTGCTACTCACCTAAGTTGCCTGTGGAGGGCAGTATTTTTGATTGACAGGTAAGAGACATAGTTTTTTTCATTAACATAATAATAAAAGGATGGGCAAGAAGATATTGTGCCTGGGATGATGAAGAGAAACATCAGGGTCATTAGTACAGTAAGAGAACTTAGTAACTTTGATTCCACAAAAACACAGATTTCCCTACATGTGTGGCAACTACAACATCTGCTTACATGCAAAAGAAAGGAACTGATCCAGAGCAACAGGTCTCAGATTGCTACCTCTATAACCCTTGCATGTTCCAGACAGAGTTTGCTGTAAATATGGTCCTGGCTCTCCCCGTTTCTAGCTGTAACTCCCATTAAAAGACAGCTAAAATTACATTAAATACTTCCCTGACATTACTTTTACATGTAAGCAATTGATGTATTTGCTATATGGATATTAAATAATAATTTGGGGGAGTGGAAGTGATACACACTTATTAAGACATTCACTCTATGGAAGAGTGAGAACCCCTGTACTACAGAAAACTGATATAAAGCAGAACTGATACACCTGTGTTTGTCTCCCCACACATGCACGCGCGAACACACACACACACACACACACACACACACACACACACGACGGAGGCTCTAGTATGTATATATAGCAG